TCCAACAGCAGACAGTTTGGCAGCAGACAGGCTGGCGTTGATTTTGACACTGGTATGAGCCTCTGTGCTCAGTTAACAAGGGCAAACTACCTACCGAACGTAAAAATGCTTAGTAAAACTGGGCAAACAAAAGCAGGGGTAGATTTGCAACTTACTTTTTATACTGGGGAAGAAAGGGGACCGGTAAAAAAACCTTCCGAGGTGAACGGTAAAATATCCTATCCTACCTATGTGGACTGCATGTTATTACAATTCCACTTCCTTTTAAGAAAAAAAAAAAATGATGTGGAATAAGTATGATTCGGGGTATGTGGATGTACACCACCAAATGTATGCATACATACACCAGAGCATCTATAGACTCACGCAAAATTACATGTTTGCACTCCCTTTCACATATATCCTTGCATGCATAACCATATGGATACATACCTATTTGACATTTCCTACACTTGCGTTCTCTATCATGCCTGTCTATCGATGTAATCATTCTAACAGTTACATTCATATCAACGGGTTCATCCTCCGGTAGGGGCATCCTGGAACTGGAGCCCTTCTGTTTCCTTTTCAGTGTCTCTGATATTTCTGCTGTCCATGTTCTGCGTGTTTGACCGCGAGCTCTTTTACCGCTGCAACTGTGTAATATGTCTCTCTGTGACGTCCTGTCTAATCCCAGTCTTGTTACATGGCCTATAAAGTTCAGTTTCAGTATTGGTTCTGTGCCGTCTCTGCTCCAGATATCATCGTTCCTAAGTCTTGTTGAGCCCTAATATAAATGACTGTGTCATATTGTGTAATGGTCGGCGTCTGTGGCTTAGGCGTTGGGAACGAGCTTCGTAATGCCAGGGTGCCGGGTTTGATACCAGCTTGCGACCTTGCGCCTTGCGTTGGTTTCGACAGTGGTATCGAGAAGCCGACCGTCCAGAAGCAATGGCAAACTAACGGATGAAAATCTGCATAGAAAAACCACAACAGCCAAAAAATGCTGGGGTTGGTTCTGCAACGTCACGTAAAGGATCCACAACTTGCTAACTGTGTAATGCGGTTCCTGGAATTTGCTCCTGTTGGATTCTCATCTAAATGGTGGCTCTTTGAGTCAATGGATGTTTATGTTTCTAAAAACATTTACGGGAGAGAGAGAGAGAGAGAGAGAGAGAGAGAGAGAGAGAGAGAGAGAGAGAGAGAGAGAGAGAGAGAGAGAGAGAGAGAGAGCATGCCATAAAACAAAAAACAATGCGGAAATGTTTGTGTGATCTCTACTGTTGAATTTAACTAATTAGAAATTGCGTGTTGATAAACAAATGATGACGTGCATTGTTCAGCTACTGACTCCTGCAAGCTCTCGTGCCGTGCCAGAGGCGAACACTTCTATGCCAATCTCCCTGATAAGGCTGACAACGGAACTCCTTGTAAACTACAGTCGGTGGGAGATGCAGTCTGTATTAATGGCGTTTGTAAGGTAAGAAATCAGTACAATATAGTCATGTTCCAGTTTTGTTCTCAGCTGAACTAAGGTAAGGAATACAATATAGTCATGTTCCAATTTAGTTCTCAGCTGAACTAAGGTAAGGAATACAATATAGTCATGTTCCAGTTTAGTTCTCAGCTGAACTAAAGTAAAGAAAGATTTTAACCATAAACTGAACTTCGTAGAGTAAAGCTGAACAAGTAGTAAACATACTCAACAACACCTCAATGCCTTTGAATACAAATATTTTAGACTGGTTCTAAGAATATCATTGGGTAAAGAAGAAATTTAAAAAAAAATGCAATCCATACTTCAGGAACTGAACATTGAAGGTTGACTATTAAAGACGATAAAACACAGAAAATAGAAATAATTTTATCACTTGAAACGTTACGAAAGTTTGGAGAGAACAATAATGGAGGGGTATATGCCTGGGAAGAGAGGAAGTGGAAAGCCAAAGAGAAGATGGATGCAGGATGTGGCGGATGATCTCTAGATATGTGTATTGGACGCGGGATATCTTGCTTGATCGAGACGTTTTACGGATGGTTGTTACAAGAGCCAAGTTCTGCAAAGGACATGCTACTGACTGACATAGAAAAGCCAGAGGTACTGGATTCGATTCCATCCATGCTGCGAAAGAATTACAGAGGGTAACATAATAAATGGTGGAATAGAATGCGAGTCGTATGTGGCGTCTAGTGGTGCATGAAGATGGCAATGATTATGATGATGATGGTGAGGATAATGATGGAGGGATCCATTTGAAGCCTTGGAGGCTTCGCCCTCACATTGAGGTCAGGAAATGTTGTGAAAAGTAAAGGCGGACAGTTTGAAACTAATCACGTTACATTGATAGTGTTAACAAGTACAAAAGTATGGGGCTTGCACTCTTCTCTTGTATCCACAGGTGGAAAAAGGCCCTTAACCCGGCGATTCGAAACCTGAGAGATCAGGTTCTTTGAGACCAGGGTACTTTCCAAACGATGATGTCAAGTCATGCTATATGGAGCAACAAGAATAAGAGCCAAT